AAGGGAAGGGAAGGGAAGGGAAGGGAAGGGAAGGGAAGGGAAGGGAAGGGAAGAGAGGAGAGGAAGTGTTCTAGTCAGAATGTATAGGGAGTGTTTGAAAAAGAAAGTATGCCTTTCAGGTGGTTTTTTAATCTTAGACAAGTCCTAGACATTTATAATCCTTATTGCTATGTTTAGTCTCACAACTGTCTGAGAAAGGAAGAGTCTAACACAACTCTTTGAAATATCTATGCTCCAGGTACATGAATTCTCAAGCACCAGCAGATGTATAGAAAGTTCAGTAGTGTTTTGATTGAGAAGGCCAGGTTTGAGACTAACCCCAATGAAAAACAGGACAGATCATTATAATTTTTAACAGTTAGTGGGCATTTGCTCTGGGCCATGTCCTTTGCCAAACATTTTTCGTGCATTGTTACTCAGTTTTCACTACCACTCAACTAGATAGTGATGTCGAATTTCTCCATTGTTATTACCACCCCTATGCTAGAAATGAAGGAACTAGAGAATAAGCAATTTGAATCTCACTAAGACCTGCGAGTTGCTCAATTCCATGGGGGTACTATCACATCGCTGAGTAGGAGATGAATATTTGGACTTACCCACAGTTAACACAATCTGAAGGGAATTTATAGTATTCAGGATCTTCTCACTGAAAAGTGAAAATGATCACACTTATCCTTTTCCTCAGATGCAGGGTGCTGGTAAGTATTCATTTTCTAGCAGCCTCCAAAGCTGTAATCTAAAAGACTGTAATCTAGATGTAATTACTATAATGAGTTCCTTTAATAAATTCCCTTTAAATTCATCTCAAAATCTATTTATACTTAATTCTATATCTTTGTTAAGTGACAAGTCTAGAGAATCTCTCATATTCATTGTCCTAATAATGCAATAATGCTAGGGTTTTAAATTTAATATTTTATTTGAACATGTTTGGTATAAGACTATTGAACCTTGAGTCGTCTGGAAGCAGGCAGTGAGTATCCTCTTATGATTTATTTCCCTACATTCCCTGGTTAACTATCGAAATCTGTGACCTTTTGACTTTCACATTAAACAAAATAGTCTACATAATGCCATAACAGCACTCATTGTCTTTCAAAGCTGAAAGCAGACAATAAAAAGTCTGGCATTTTAATTAGATACTTGGCTTCATGTGCATTTCAATATCAGTCTAGTGAAGCTGAATAATAGATGGAAGTTTGCCCTGACTTTAGACATCCTGCCCTCCCATTGCATTGCATCAGACAGCACAGGAATGCACGGTGAGAGCAATTTTATTCATTTCCCCCTAAGTCATGCCTTGCTATTCTTTCCTTGTAGCTATTTCCATATAGTAAATGTTTTTCTATTCATTTGGCAGTGCAGTGATGCTTATTAGCAAAGTACTTGTTCTCTTAATTCACAGTTATTTTCTACAATGTTGCTATTAGGCTGTGAGATAATAAGAATCATTTTCCCAGTACTTGCCTCTCCCTTCTGTCTTGCTTAGGACAGGCGGGTGCTCAGGGTGTTGCAGATGGGCTGTCCTTTTAGGAATTTGGAACCAGGTGACATTACTCCTTTTTCGGAATATGGATCAGAACAGAGGAATCCATAGGCTGTCACTTGAGGCCAAACTACAATAAACCTGGGCAGATCATTCAATTAAGTTACTGATTCAAGGAGGCTAGGCAGAGAGGGAGAATCTAGTTTGAAACAATAGGTAGAAAAGTCAGTGAAACAGGCAAACTTTAAAGAATATACAGCAGATGGTAAGGATTAGATTTAAGAATTACTGAGTCCTGGCCATAGCTATTTATTATGTTTCCGTTACAGGTTAGACATAATTCTGGCCCTCAGAAACCTCACATATCAAGATAACTGCAGTATGAGGTGATGTATGTGGTAGCCAAGTGCTGCATGAGGTCGTGTGGTAGAAATTAAAATACTTTAGGTGGATGTGAGCCAGAATAAGTTGGGGACTACAGGGAAGGAGATGTAGATGTAGGAAGTGACTCTAGAAGCATGAATAAGATATATGTAAGCAGATGAAAAGCATTCCAGAAAAATGCAACTCAGTGCAGAGCTGTTACAAACAGATGACAAAGTCTGAAATGGCTGTAATTAAGGTGAGAATGTAGAGACACTAGAACTGATAGTGATGAGGTGGAGAAGAGCCAGGACATAAAAGGACATAGTGTCCTGACACAAGAAAAGAGAAACTAATTTACAATAATTTGAGATATTGCTAATTCAGAAGATGAAAAGTATTGGGATAAAGATAGTGACAATAGAAATAGAATTTTGAAAATAGTTTGTGGTGAGTC